TTTCAACTCTGCCGTTCTTTCTTCTCATGTCGTATATTTACCCATATGCAGCAAGTGGAATGCCTCTGCTTTTTAAAAAAATTTTTTAAGATTTATTTTATTTGAAAGATAGAGTCACACACAGAGAGAGAGAGAGAGAGAGAGAGAGAGAGAGAGAAGGGTATTTTCCATCTACAGGTTCATCCCCCAAATGGCTGCAACAGCTAGGGCTGGGCCAGGCAGGAGCAGGAGCCTGGATCTCCCTGCTGGCCTACCCATATGGGCGGTAGGGCCCCAAGTACTTGGGCTGTCTTCTACTGCCTTCCCAGAAGCATTAGTGCGAATGCTAGATCAGAACCGGAGCAGTCAGGACTTGAACCTTGAGTGCTCCCATACGGGGTGCTGGTGTTGCAGGCAGCAGCTTAACATGCTGTTAGTTCAGAGAAATGAGTGCTTGTTTCACACCTGTTTTTTCATTCTTAGTGTTTCTTCTAGGAAGTTGAAAATGGGGGACACGGCGAGACTTCCCTCCCCACTCCTCTTCTTTCCGCCGCCATCTGTCTGTGCAGTAGCTCCTTGTGTGCCTCCCTCCTCCATTCGGGGCAGAAATGCCAGCCCATGTGCTGGGCAAGGAATCCTGTTTGGATTTGGCCAAGTAGAACTTTTTCCTCTGCAGCTTCACATCTAACAGCCTGTCCTTTCTTGAGATCACAAAATGCCTGCACAAGAAAAACCAAACCATAAACTGCACTCGGAGGTCACATTACAACGCCAGGTAAGGATCATTTTCTGAAGAATAACACTGGGACCGAGTTAAGAATCAGCTGCCTCCATGAACAAAAGGCAGGGAGAAGGGAGAAAAGCCCAGCGGGCTCACGTGTGACTTAACCCGGTGTCCAGCCCCTGGGACCACTACAGATCCTCATGGCAGTGCGACCTCTCGAATCGCCGAGACTGCTGGGCATGCATTTTTCTCCCCTCCCTTCCTTCCTTCCTTATTTCAAAAATATTATTAGTGCCCCTCCCAAGTCATAGATCGGGCACTGTGCAAAGTCCTGAAGGCCGAAATAAAGCAAAGACCCACGGACTCCCTGACGCCGTGGGGCTCCCACGGCAGTGATGAGAGGGATGCTGATCTACCAGCCACGCGATCAGGGGCCAGATCCCGAGGCCGGGGAGGGCATGGAGGAGCCCTTGGTGCCGCTCAGAGGGCTGAGCCCGTTTGGGAAGCCAGGCCAGGTCTCCCAGAGGAAGTGATGAGGCGCAGCCGGGACGGGAAGGATGAGTCGGCGGCGTTCCGGGCAGAGGAAGCAGCTCGTGTAAAAGCCCTGGGGTGGAGGGAAGCTCGGGGAGTTTGAAGAACTGAAAGAAGGTCAGAGTGTCTGGGGCCTTGAGAACCAGGGGAGAGGGCGCGCGCGGGGCTGGCGAGGGAGGCGCGGCGTGCAGCCAGCCCGCGGGGGCCTTTGCAAGGACTCCGGCTGGTCCTGAACAGCCGCGGCCCATGTGCGCCGCGTGGGCAAGGGTCTGCCATAGAAAGATGTTGCGATCAGAGGGAAAAGGAAAGGATGGTTTCAAGAACGAGGCAAGCGAGGAATGAAGGCCGCCTCGAGGGCGAACGGTAGCTAACAGAGCAGGTTCCCGGGGACCAGGCGTTGTTCTGTGAGCGTCACACTGAACCCTCGCCCGTCTCGGGGAGAGGCGCCTGGGACCTTTGTCCGCCTCTTCCCACGAAGGAGGAGAAGGAGGATCAAAACAGCCGGGGCAGCGCTGGCTGCCCTGTGTGCGCCCGGACCAGGCAGGGACCCTGGGAGGCCCGACCGCACCCAGACGTTCCTTCCGGCCTGTGCGCCAGGGTGGTGGCTGGGGCCCCGAGGTTACAAAACGGGAAGATTTGCCAAGACTCAGACCAGGTTCTCAGGATCTAAGAAGGTGGAGGGGAGGGGCAAGGCAGCCGATATCGTCCAGTGATGGGGAGGAGCACAAGCCAGTGCAGGTACTTCTATGGCATTAAGGAGAAGGCAAGGGCTTTCATGACACCGAGTGGGCATTCACGTTTCCTTGTCTTTATTTATTTATTTGACAGATAGAGTTATAGACAGTGAGAGGAAGAGACAGAGTCTTCCGTTGGTTCACTCCCCAAATGGCTGCTACGGCCGACACTGCGCTGATCCAAAGCCAGGAGCCAGGTGCTTCCTCCTGGTCTCCCATGCGGGTGCAGGGCACAAGCACTCGGGCCATCCTCCACTGCACTCCCTGGCCATAGCAGAGACCTGGACTGGAAGAGGAGCAGCGGGGACTAGAACCTGGCGCCCATATGGGATGCCGGTGCCACACCCCCTTGTCTTTATTTTAAGATCTGTTTAAAAGACAGGGAGAAAGAGTGTGAAGTGGGTAGGACAGTAGCCCAGGAGGTAGGCATTTGGGCAGCAGCATCCTGCATCCCATATGAGACTCCCTGGGTTCAAATCCTGGCTCTGCTCCTTATTCTAGCTCTCTGCCGATGCGCACCCTGGGAGGTGGTGGTGAGGGCTCAACTACTTGGTTTCCTGCCACCCATACGGAGGACCTGGATTCAGTTTCTGGTTCCTGACTGTTAGGGGCACTTGGGGAGTGAACCAGCGGATGGGCGAGCTCTGTCCCTCTGCCTTCTCAATTAAATAAATAAATAAAATTTAAAGCAGCGCAGTAAAAAGTGGGTAACCTGTGAAATACCTCTCAAGAGGTCATATCCGTTTACAGTGATACGCGGGTCAGAGCAGGAAGGAGAGGCACACGCATTCTTGCAGTGCCCACAGCGGGCCTGTGGAGGAGCTGGTGCGGGAAGGAAACAGTCCCGGGCAGTGGGGGAGCTGCCTGGACCTGACTCAGCCTGCGAGCCCGACTCCTGATTACCGCAGGGCAGGGACGTGGGTCTCCTTGCTGGGCCTTGCTGCTTACTCCCAGGCACCACTCTTCTCTGCTCAGTCTAAACCGAGTGGATCTCCTGCCAGAGCTACCCAACCCCTCTCCGGCCTGCTGCACCCCATGGCTCTGGATGCAGCTCTTGATGTCATCCCCCACTGGGCGACTTCACACACAGCCTGCCGGCCACTGGGACCAGCCCTGCCCTGGGCTCAAGGACCAGGGGCCCGGAAGGTGGGGAGGCTGGGGATGCAGGCCGGGCTGGGATGTGCTTGTCCTCAGCAGGTGGCTGGCTCTGGCCAATGTGTTTCCCAAGGGGCCAGAAAGGAGGTACAGGGCCTATGAGGTCTGCTAGGCCCTGTAATGCCCTAACTCTCTCCATGGGAAACCAAGAAACTGTCTTTCGCCAGGGTAGAACTTGAGCTTTCTGTTACACATGAAAAGCCAAAGAGATGTGACTAGTTTTGCAAACTACTTTATCACAGCACACAAATCAAACCGTTAAAATCACCTAAGAAGTAAAAGGATAGAGAAGCAAGCATTTAACACAGTGGTTAAGTCACCACTTGGATCTCCCACATTCCCTATGGGAGTTCCTGGTTCAAGTCCCGCTACTTGGCTTCTGAGCCAGCTTCTGGCTGATGCACACCCTGGGAGGCAGCAGGCCATGGTTCGAGTACTTGGGTCCCTGCCACCCATGTGGGAGACCCAGATGGAGTTCTGAGTCCCTGGCTTCAGTCTGGCCCAGCCCCTGCTTTTGTGGGCATTTGGGAAGTAAACCAGACAATGGAAGATCTCTTTCTATCTGTCTCCCTTTCTCTGTCTTCTCTCTGTCTCTGTCTCTCTCTCACTCATGTGTGTGTGTGTGTTTCTCTCTCTGCTTTTCACATAAAATGAAAATAAATAATTTTTTTTAATTTTAATTTTTTTAAAGAAGCCTGAAAAACAGAAACATTTTTAAAGTATTTACTGGCATGTGTGCTGTGCCAGGTGTTGAGCTAAAAGGGATTACGTATGTTTGGCCCTGACAACAAGGGCCAAAGGTATTACATATTGTTATTCCCATTTTACAGATAACAAAAGAGAGACTTAGGGCAGTAAAGTAACTTTACCTACATCACAGGGCTGGTGAGTGGAGAAGCAGCCATGTGACCCCTGTGCGCCAATGCTGAGAGTCTGTCAGCACAGCAGGATGCTGCCCTCTGCACCCCGTGAGTCTCTCCCCAGCAGTGAGCCGGAGAGCTCACCTCGTCACAGGCCAGAGAGGCCCTTCTAGATTTGCAGGTGCTTCACGTTTCTCAATGCTTTGCAAATCCCCGTTTTCCTGAAAAAGAGATGAGCCTGGGAATTCTGCCCCCAGGAGACTTATGTCCATCACAGGTTTTATTACCCCACCTTTGCTTATTTGAACGTTACCAGAGCCTACCTGAACCTCTGTGTCTAGAGGTCACGTGAAGGAATTTTGGTAGACAGATGATTGTTTAAACTAGTGAAATAATTATGAAAAGGGACGTTCACATTACCATTCCTGATATTCGAACACATTGGGCAGTCTAGGGTTTTTTTCATCTAATTGTTCAAAACCATTGCGTTTAGATTCCTTTTCTTTAATTTAAAATGATTTCCTGTCTCCATCTCTTACCCAACTCCTTCGTCCATGGGTGGGGGTTTAAGCCTGGAATCTGGCATCTGTGGAGTTTGGCTTTCTCAGCTGGCAGAGTTTAGTCTTAGGACTAAAATTCAGAAGGTCTGATTATTTTCTTTTCAACCCTCTTGATGGCTGAAGGTGCTAAACACGTCACCATGTAACAGCTGAAAAGGAAACTGAAAAAAAAAAAAAAAAGACCAAGTCATGAACCCGCTATTGACAGGACAGACGTTCAGAAACTGGGCTGGGGAAGTGCTTTTTGAACTCCCAGTGAAGGTCACACAATGGAAAGTCTCACTGGAATGTTTTCAGGTTTTAACTTCTGTTGTTCAGGCTGATGCTGACCTTAAAGCACTCCGTTTCCTGGTGACATCCACTATTACCTGGGATGTGCACAGTGAATCACAGGGAAGTGAAAACATACTCCTACGGGCAAAAACCACTGCAGACTGTGAACTCCTGCAAAACATCAGCAAACTTGTCAAATTGTTTCAACATCTGCTTCCCTTTCGTCTTTAGAGCCCGGCTTTCTCAAGGTACAAGCAGCAGGCGGCTTCTCCAATGCCCGGAGTGCCAAGGTAGTGCCCCGACTCCCCGTGCATTTCCGGCAAGCTCCTGGTTAGGGCTGTGACCCTCTTAGGGAGGCGAGGGGAACGATGACACTTTTCTTCCACAGACAGTGGAGCTGACTCCATCGTGATTTTTAGTTCCTAAAAAAAGTGCGGCCAATTAAAATGGCTCAAAATTAATCCCCGTTGAAGCCAACGTATTTTTTTGTTTGTGTAATTGGAATAAAAAAGGGTAGGACTGATATATGGGTGGCGAGACATACAGGAGGCTGATTGTAGGTTGGCACCTTTGGGTGTCACTCAGCCACTCCCGGTCAGCCCCTCTGAGCAAGACAACAGTGAGGACCCACAAGGGCCTCCTAGGACTGAGGAACACACTCTTAGAGCTTTCTCTTAGCTTGTTGGCGTTCCTACAGGGGGCAGGTGAGTTGGGACTGACCAGAAACGGGGAGAGGAGAAAGGAAAATACACTTTTAAGTTGGAGAATATGTTGCCGTAATATCTCAACGAGTGTGAATTAAACTTCACTGGCGACTGCACCCACGGCCACAGCCACTGGGAGAGGTCACCCCCAGAGGCAAGTTCCAGTCTCACTGGGTCCGGACTGAAGATGAGTGGCAGCCCCCTGGCAGTTCTAACAGTCGTCCCTCAGTGTCTGCGCTCCCTCGCTTTTCCCACCCCCGTTCGCACTCGTAGGCTGTCTTACAGTGTGATGTTAAGAAAGCCATGTGTGAAGCCTTAGCCTATTTGGAGTCAGGCCCAATGTGTGAATCCTGGCTCTCTCCCTTCCACGCGGTGTGATAAAGTCAAGTTACATAACCTCTCTGACTTTCAGGATGCTCATCTCAGAACTAGGACAGCACAACTGCACAGAAGGGGACAGTCTGGCTGCCTGTGTTCTAATTTTCCCCCACCACTTGTCAGCTGTACCTCTTCATGTGAGTGACTATTTTATGTGTCTCTTATATATGTTTCCTCATCTGTAAAAATAATACTAATGCCTACTTCATACAGTCAAGAATTATAATACTCACCTTATTTAATCTTTTAAAGATGAAAGGAGATGACTGGGGATGGCTGTCGAGGCTTAGCGGGTTAAGCCTGCTGCTTGGGACACACATATCCCACATGCAATACCTGGAGTTGAGTACCACTTCTGCTTCCCATCCGGCTTCCTGGTGATGCACACCTTGGGAGGCAGCAGAGGACGGCTCAGGTAAGCAAGTCCCTTTCAACCATGTGGGAGACCCTGATGAGATCCTGGCTCCTGGCCTTGACCTGGTCCAGCACCTGCTGTTATGGGCATATGGAGGGTGAATCAGTGGATGGAAGGTATCTCTCTCTGTTTCTAGGTGATTTTAAAAGTTAACTACTTTCTCTGCTGTGTTTGTTGATTTAAAGAAAGGAGTTTAATTTTATCTAATTAAAAGATAGCTTTATCCAGAGAGAACAAAAAAATTCTACATTAAATATACACTTGTTTTTTTAATCACCATCTTAACTCGACAGGTTTCTGGGAATCAGCAGACACTGGCAAAGTAGAGGTGACACGTTCATAAAAAGTGCCGAAATTATGTAAACTTTTTTCCCCAAATTTTTGCCTGAAAAAGCTTCTTAATATAACCTGAAGCTCAAACTATGCAGAAACATACAGATAAATGTAAATTGGATAAAATTACAAACATTTCTGTAGTGCCAAAAACATGCAAACCAAGTTAAGCATCTGACCTCTTCATCTGAAATCTTAAATGTTTTGTCCTTAATTGATTACATTTTGCAGGAGCTCAATAGCTTCTTTTGAAAGTGATTGACAGAGAGATGTTTTGCATCTGAGTGAAGCATAAACACCAATATCTCCTGACTTAAAAAAAAATCCTTTATTCTGGTGCAACTGCCTACAGTGCTGGCATCCCATATGGGCCCCAGTTCAACTCCCGGCTGGACTCCTGGCTGCTCCACTTCTGATCCAGCTCCCTGCTGATGGCCTGGGAAAGCAGTAGAGGACGGCCCAAGTGTTTGGGCCCCTGCACCCATGTGGGAGACGCAGAAAAATCTCCTGGCTCCTGGCTTCGGATCAGCCCAGCTCCTGCCATTGCAATCATTTGAGGAGTGAACCAGTGAATGAAAGACCTTTCTCTCTGTCTTTCCCTCTCTCTATCTGTAACTCTGCCTCTCAAGTAAAATAAATAAATCTTTTTTAAAAAATCCTTTATTCTTAAAGATTTGGCTGAATTCACCCATTACAAGCAAAGGACAGATACTTTTTGCAACTCCTCTGCCTAGTGGTTGTCATGTTTATTTTGACAATGCTTGCGAAGCTCATTCTGATTTTGAAAACATTCAAATGCAAAAAAGCAGATGTCTTAGAACTGAGGAGACACTATTAAAATGCTTTGCATTTACAATTCACCAAAAGCAACATAGATCATCTATGTGTACAAGAACTGGACACTATAATTTGGCTTTGTAGTTCAGGAGCCACATTATAAGAGGCAAGATATCTTGGAGTAGTCTCTGTTATGCAAGTATCATTTCAAGGTAACTTGCAATTCATGGTCTTCATTCGGGGTGGGTGTTTGGCATAGCAGGTAAGATGCTGCTTGGGATGCCTGGAGCTCATCCTGGAGCTCTTGGGGTGGTTCCAGTCCTGGCTGTACTCCTGACTCCAGGTTCCTGCTAATGTGCACCCTGGCTGGCAGCAGGTGGTGTGGCTCAAGTAGCTGAGTCCCCGCCACTCACATGGGAGACTCAGATTGAGTTCCGCACTCCTGGCTTCTGCCTGGTCCAACCCTGGCCATTGCATGCATTTAGAGAGTGAACCAGTGGATGAGAGCTCTCCATCTCTCTGCCTTTCAGATAACTGAAATAAATTCTAATTGCCATCATTTAAAATGTCTACTCTTCAGAAGCCACTGTGCTGTGCTCATGATCTCTTCTAGTCTTTATAAAGAATTCCATCAAATTGGTAATACTTCCCATGCTTACCGATAAAAAAAAAAAAAAAGACAGAGAGGTTCAGAGAGATACCATTCCAGTGAACTCACCATGGAAAGTGGTGAATTTGAAGCCGAGTCTGTCAGACTCCAGTGCTTCGCCTCTTTCAACCATCTGCAATCATTTGCTTCAATCATGCCATGTGAAGAAGGGAGCACAAAGAATGACACCAAGGACGTGCTAGGCAGGTTGACAGGGACGTCTCAAACATGCTCCCATGCACACATGTGCGTGCACACACACACACAGCCGTGTGTGGGAACTTCCTCTGGCTGAGGCTGGGTAAAGCATGAACGCCTCCCTGGTATGGACTCTTGGAGAGAAAGACAGATGGAAAAGGTAGAAAAGTGGGAATTGTAATTTCACTTTAAGTAAAAGAGATTTTTCTAATACCTTGTGGACTGCAAAATAGATGCCCACCCATTCACTCTTCCATTATATGCTCATACCAGGCAGAGTGAGTATTATCAATCTAATTCTACAGGTAAGAAAAATAAGGGCTGGAGAAGTTAAGTGCTTTGCCTATGGTCATACAGCTTTTTAGTAACAACCCATACCTCCCTACTCTGCAGGGTGACCTAACAAATTCCTTCTGAATTACCAGATAATTATTGGATAAGAATAATATGTATTCTTACATTAATTATTCATATATAAGGGTTTGCCTGAAGTGCTCAAAGATGTATTTCAAACATTCCCCTTATAATCTCATTTACATTATTCTTCAGCACTACTTAGCAAGACAGGGTTTGCTAAATGAAGGAAAATTTCTGCCCAGATCCCAATCAAGTTATTATAAATTCCAAATTAATAGGCCCTAAATAAATAAAAGCTTATTACGGAGCTAAAAGCTGATAATGTTGTTTGTTTCTGATATCTTTTTTCATTTGCTTCAGTCCCAATTTGAGTATTTTATCTCTGCAATTTTTTTTTCCTGTTTCCTCATTAGAGAAACAAGGCAAGAGACGCATACAGGAAAAGAAATACTTGTATGTGAATAAAATTAATAACCTGAAATTATAGGAAGGGGTGAAGAGGCTTCTTCTCAGTAATTTATCATAATGTTTAGTAACAGCAATTTGCAGTAATGAAATAACTAATCTTTGCTTCTCCTGGGCATGTGTTGTATTTATTGGTTTATGCTGTACTTACTTTTTTTTTTATTACTCCATTTGTTAAATTATTTAAACTTACGAGCCAACTTCTAACTTATTAATGGTAAGGAACGCATCTGAAATGGGAATCATGCGAATAATGATTTCATTTTTCACCTGTATTTTTAAGTGGCCAAAATATCATTACCATTTACCGGGGATTTATAGGCACCAGCAAGCTTGAGATGGTTCAGCTCTTGGACCAGGTAACCCAGCTTGAGTTCTAAGGACTAAAAGGACTTCTCCTATAAAACAAACTTTGTATTAAAAAATCATCTGGGGGGAATCTCGCGGTGGGTTTCCTTTTTGCTTTTAAGAGTCCTGAGGGATTGAGACGCGCGAGAGACAGGCTGATGGCATGAAAGGCCCAGCGCTCTTACGGAGATTTCTCCCGTGATTAAAAAATCATGCATTTTTTTGTCGGCCAGGTGCAAGGAGTAAACACTAGGGGATTCTCTCAGTTCCCTCGTCCTGCCTCTAATCTACAAACACACCACAAAGGCCGCTCTGTTCCTTCCCGCAGCCGCGTTTCTCATTCAGACGTCCTTCCTGTTTGGGGTTCTATTTCTTCCTTCCACTGGGTGCTTGCCTTTCCTGCATGGGCTCCTAAGTTTGTTTGTTTTCCAGGCCGCTCACATTTTTCTATTTCGGAATCGTGGCTGCCCGACCCTCCGCGCCACGTGGCCGCCGGGGTCGCGGCTACCTGCGGCCATTCATCACCTTCGCGGCTACGCACTTCCCTCCTCCCGGCTCCTCTTTCTTATCTCTCGCCCCTCATTTCCTCCCCCCGGAGTCTCCCGTCCCCCTCTCGGTGCCCTTTGACCGTCCCTGCCGCGGCCCCCGAAGGAGCGCTCCCCGCGGGTGGCGCGCCGAGCGCCGGTGCCCACGGCCCTGTCCCGGTCCCCGTCCCGCGCTGCCGGCCGCCGCCGCGAGGGCCGGGCAGGGAGAGAGAGGTGCGGGCCCAGCCCGGGCCACCCCTCCGGAGTCTGGACGCAGGGCGCCTCCTCGGCCCGTTTCCACTTGACCCCGAGCCACTCCGGAGCCACCTGCGGGAGGGCGCCGCGCGCCGGCCGCCCGCCCTCCGCAGCCAACAGCTCGCTTCTCCCGGCTCGGCCGTGACCTGGCCTCACCCTCGGCGGGTTGTGTTTTTCACTATTTCCAGATACGTTCGTGCATAAAGCACGCGTCAGGCCCCACCCCCGGCCTCCGCTCGCTGCCAGTCCGAAGGTACCGTGGAGGAACACTCCGTGACGGCCACCGCGGCGGCAGGGTGGCTTCTGTCTCAGCCGCTGAAGTAAGTGTGTTGGAGAAGCCGGATGCACAAGGGCTCAGCAAACCACCACCACCACCACCACAACCCCCTTTCGCCGGCCCAGGCGTGGGAAGGCGGCCGCAGATCCCAGCGAGCCGAGCGCCCGGGAAGCGGCCCGCGGCGGCGCCCACTCCGCGTCTCGCTCCCCAAGCAGGTGCCGGTTTGTTGACTGTGAAAGTCGGTGCCAGGGACAGCACCTGGCTGTGCCAACCCTCCAACACAGCGGCAGACCCGCGCTTCTGACGCGTTCTGGGTGAGGATCAAAGAAGTCTCTGCTGGGAGGGGGGGGGGTGAGGTAAACAGGAGGAAATGACCCCAAATTTGCAACATTGTTTCCAAGGCTCCTCTATGACGTCACTCCCCTCCCCTCCCGCCCGGCCCACTCTGGAGACAAAAGGGAGCGCTCCGGCTCCGCTGAATGAATGAAAACAAAGGCTGAGGCCCGAGGCGTGGGTCTGGCCCCGGGCGGACGGAGGCTGGGTGCGAGGGAGGCCGTCCCCTCGGCAGTCCTTCCTGGTAAACACCCGTCCCTGGCCGGGTCGGGGTCCGGGTTTTCAGCCTTTTGTCCGTCGTTCCCGTCTCGGCCTGGTGTCGGGCTCAGGGCTCCCATGGCCTGGAGGGTCCTCATCACTGCCTTCGTCTCCCGCTGCGAACGGGTTAGCCTCGAGCAGTTAGGTCAGCGTGGGCTTCCGCGCGGAGCCAAGC